AATGTTCCTTATATAAGTAAATGCTTAATACTAATAAATTAGTGTTTGCGATTCTTCTAAAGTGGTGACTACGTCACACGCTGCGTTATCTCGGTTGCCTTAGTGTTTGTGTACGAACCCAGCTGTTCTGCTGCGGTGAGTCTACCCTGGCTGAACCCTGCTGTGCCGCCACCTTTGTCCCTCTGGTGCTTTGCCATCTATATGTTTATCTCTCTTTGTTTACTGTGTCAGATGTTTCGGATCGGTCCTCAGCGTGAGTGCCAATAGCATCAAGCAAGCAAGGTTAGCAGGTAGAAAGGCAGCCAGAGTCCTTGGAGAAAGCACAGCTCTTAGAAATTTGATGCCAAGTACAGCGGTTGATGCCAGACGCTCAGTGTGTCTCACATTTTGTTAGATCTCGGGCCGAGCTGCGGGGCCAGTGTTTTCATCTGATTTCGGGCTCTCCTGGCTCAACCTGACCCGACTTGAAAGCTTTGCACGCATGTGGATTCGCACACAGCATGTGTGTCAAGGTGTGACCGGCAAAAAGGTAGACAATCCGAGGGTTAATAGGCGACTATAAAAGCACAAAGAGAAAAAGGGGAGGATTGCAGACAGACGAGGAGGAGGATTCAGGAACGAGTTTGGACGTGAGCTCGGTGTCCCTGTCACCTGGTTGGAATGCAGATCTTCCTATTCATGATAAGATCACGAGCAGACAGAGCGGATTTCCTGCCTGCCGCCAGTGACACAGCATACGTCTTTACGAGTCACGCAGTGCTGACCCACCCAGCGCTGAGCTAACACTGAAATATTGTTTTACCTTGTTACAAATAACATGCCTGAGTTTTTATTAGTAATCAGACTGCAAGTTAAAGCAGATAAGAGGATGAGTGGCTTTCAAACACTTTTTTTTTTTAAACAAATAAAAATCTGAAAAGTGCGGTGTGGATTTGCATTTAGTGATAATGAGTCAATACTTTGTATAGCCAGCTTACACTGCAGCCTCAGCTGCAGAGGCATTTTTTTCTTGCAGTCTACTCCAAGGTCATAGATTGGACAGAGACAGTCTCTGAACATTCCTTTTCCAAATTTTGCCTCAGATTCTCAGATGGTTATAAGTCTGGACTTTGACTGGACCATTCAAGCCCTGGAATCCGTTGTGATTGCAGCTCTGGCTGTACACTATGTTTCGCCTTGTTATTCTGCTGGTGTATCATAGTAAAGAAAAGAGGTAAACTGTAAATACATGCCACACTTTTCAGATTTCTTGTTTAAAAGAGTTTGAATTCATTGTAATTTCACTTCACATTTAAGTGACACAAACTAAAATGGTCAAGACCTTGTATGCTTTTGCAAGCAGCTCTTACTCAGATATAAGTAACGAAATAATCAGAGTAAATAACTAGGAATTTACCAGCCCATTAATGAAATTCCCACACTGGAGTTGTTAGCCCTAAAGAGAGCTGAGTACAACTTAATCAGCAGCGTGATGCCAAATGCTTGATGCCTCAAGCCTGGTCCTCCGTCAGGCCAGTCATAAATCTGCACATAAGCATGTAGTGTAAGCGAGTCAGCTGGTTGGACAGCCATGTCTCCTCTAACCGCCGGAGGGAAAAGACAGGAGCTTCAGTCGCTGAGCGGGACAGGAAAGGAAAACAGACCTCCCAGCAGCCAGGAAATCCATGGAATCCCGTGGGTCAATTCAGGGTCAGCTGGAGAAGTCCCACAGGGAGAGGAGAAGATAAAACAGTGGTGTGGCACTAAAAGGTGAGATTCACCAGCAAGTGACTCTCTGCGGACATGCACCAATTATCAGACATGCACAGAGAAAACCACACTTTGTTTTGTTTTGTTTTTTTTGTTTTTAGCATGAATCACATTTATTTTGTTTCAGTCAAAAACAAAGCAGATCTTTGATTTAAACACACAAAGCCACTCTTAAGTAAAACCAACAGAAGCCAGCTTTTAAAAGATACACAATTTGGAGACTTGATGGCTGTTCATGTAAAGGTGCCAGAATCTTCTATTTATAGAGATGTTTTTTGTTTTTTTTATCTGTAGTGCTAAAAATAATGTGCTATTTTCTTACTGCCTTGGAGAGGAAGATAAATGAAAACTAAGCTACAAAGTGAAATGACAAATATTAGCTTAACCCTCGAAAGCCAAGCAGTTGGTAGAAAACTCAGTTTTTTAAAAAGAAGTTATGTAATTTTTAAAACTAGACATTATGAATAACAAGAAGGATGTTTTGTAGAAAATTTGTAAAGATAATTTTAGTATCATATTTTAGTATTTCAGTCTCATATTTACTAAATGTAGCAAGTTATTGAGAAAAATAACTTCTTTTTATTATTATGTAGTTGTATCATCCTCTTGGGTTCATGTAATTATGACCTAGGTTGATTTTGTGTACAATAAAATAACATATGACACACTTAAAACGTATCTATGACTTGTACCCCTCTTTAAGCTGTATTGCAATTCTTTCTTCTTCTTGCATTTTTACATTTTATTTATTAAATATAAGCAGTTTTGCTACCGCAGCATTTTGAAACCCTGATGTACAAGCTGAATCACAAAGCACTGGGTTATCTAACTGGATGATGAGTCACCTCAGCATTTCTAACGTTTCAAAAACCTTACACTGATTTCCACATGTCAGCGGTTTTGAACATAGACTGATCATTTATTATAAATGTAGTTTCTAATTGAACACGAACAGTCATTTACAGCCTTCCTATGACTTTTAGAACTAGTTCAGATTGAATGAATGAGTGTGTGTGTGTCTGTTGTTGAAGCCGGATGATTTAAGAGTGTTGCTGCAATGACATGCTCTTGGTTTTGTCTGGACTATCACTGGGACTTGGCACGGTGGGAGAGACTCTATGAATGAGATTAAAGGTCTCTGCTTTCCTGTTCTTTCATTCACAAATTAGCCGCCTCCAGACCATATTCATCGAGAATTACTCTGTGACACGACAAACTCCTCCAGGCAGACTGTGTTTACTCCGCACTTTATAACTTGCACACAGAAAAAGACTTGCAGACAGATTAAAATCAAGCTTATTATTAGAACAAATTAGTTATCGTTTACGATTTAATTTGAAAAAGCTAAAAACCACACAGCATTTTTTGTTAAATTGTGCTACTAAAAATGTTATTTTACATCCAGTTTTACTGCAGCTTTTGGTAATTTTTAGGATTTTTTCTTTCATAATACATAGAGTTAAATCCAGTAATTTACATAAACTCTATAAAATATATACATATTTTTTTGTTCCCTGATTAAAATTGGAACAAAATTATTTTTTCTGTTTTAGGTCATTAGGATGAACACAATTAATTTCTGTATGTTTCTGGTTATAATTAAGCAAATTATGTTGCTTTCTTAACATTCACATATCATATACCCATGAATACATATGGCATAAGATAATACTCTGTCATTTTTCTCTGAGAAAAAGATTTGGTGTAGTCGAGGTTAAGGGTCGTTCTCTGTTTTATTATTGTTTTTTTTTTTTACTCGCTGTCAACAAAGCAGAGGTGAGGAGAGCTGTCTTTACCTCATGAATGGTTTCCAATTAGCGGAGTTGGTTGACGTTGTAGGTGGTCCTTGTTTAAGCTTGTCATCCCACTGGGTTTTTCCTAAACACCAGCAGGTTGATCAGTGACCCTTCCCTTCATTGCTATGCTAACCCATTGTCCTCTTATTGGCTCCGTCCAATGAGCTACTCTGTACACCTTAAATAAAAGATGTTTTGTTTTTACTCCTTCATGCATCAATACTAATTGAACAAATGCAAGTGAATTAAGGTATTTTTCTAACTAATAGAACATTGGGCTCTAAAACTCCCTTTAGACCGGACAGGATGACGTCTGAAATGGAGAGTTCTTGTTTGTGACTGGCAAAATGGAAAAAACAAAACCAGCTTTATTTATTTCATGAAAATACACACATATGCCTGGTTACACAACACTTTGTTTGATATCTCTAAGGACAGCCACAGTCCCATGGTGAGATGAGATTAGAAGATGCATGAGTTGTTGTGCAACATCACATCGCGTTGCACGTGGTGAGTCACAGACTCGTCCGCCATTGGAGTTTACGACTTAAATTCACAATCAGAATCAGCTTTATTGGCCAAGATGCTGTGCACAAACAGTCTGATTCTGCTTTCAGTCGCTCGCAGTGTGCACACATTAGGAGCAAGAACAAGAAGTACCACGAGCGCAACGCTGAGGTGGCCATCCACACCGTCGTCTTGAATTAAATCTGGCACCGGTCATTGGAAACAGATAAAATGTAGCAGATTCTGGCCAAGTGAGGAACCTACTTTTGACATAATGTAACACCCTGCTGGCGATGTTATTTTTTATCTCTACATTACCTTTGTTTCGCTCTTGTTTTATAATTTGAACTTAACCCTCCTTATCAGTCTCTTGCCAGATTCGATCTTTTTATTTGTACATCTTCAGCACAGTTTTAGATTAAATGGCCGTGAGACATTCAGGTCCAAGCGAGATGCAAGTTTGAGCAAATGTTGATGTTTAACTTTTTGATTTTTGTCTGTAGAAGTAAATGAAGGAGCTGGGTTAATAATAATTGGCGTGTAGTATTTGAATTATTTCTGATTAACGGGACTAAATGTTTTCTGGGTTCCTTAAATCAGAGGGCAAATACCTCGACAAGAAAGAAAGAAGTTACCCAACATTGAGAAAGCATGAGAGGCCCCATTTTCCCTGCATGGAGCAGTTAGCCAAGAGGCCCCACATTCCCCTTCAGTGTACTGTATTAAACAGTGTTGACATGCGGGCTGTATGATATCAATTTTCACAGCTCCCACATAATCAACTGTTTGATGCAGGATTATTTTTCATCTCTCCACATGTGAATATCACGGCTCTAAGTTTCTCACATTGATTTCCAGTGAATTACATTAATCTTGGCAATTTTCTTTTCACTAGTCTTGTTTCTCACAGTGAATATGTGTTATCTGTCCTGGTTTTCCCCAATGCAGCAGTCCTATGTGTCCTCCGGCCACCAGATGGCACCTCCCAGTCCCAACACCAACAGTAGTAGCAACAGCAGCGGCGGAGGTGGGGAACAGCTCAGTAAAACGAACCTATATATCCGCGGCCTCCACCCAGGAACTACGGACCAGGACCTCGTGAAGCTCTGCCAACCGTGAGTGATTTTAGACCTGTTAACCTGCAGCTTTTAGATGCATCCCAGTACCTGTCATATTGTCTAGTCTGTATACTTTAAAAATGAAATTACCCGAATAAACAGATCTTTTAGTTTCCATCCCACGACCTTCCAAAGGGCCGACTTTCTATCTTGTAAACAAGAGCAATGTGTACAAGCAGCTGTTAGTGTACAGGTGAAGGAGGGGAACATGCAGAGCAGCTCTATTGCAAACACCCAGAACAAACTCTGCCCGCTGCAGAATTTTATCTAGCATCTTATTAACCCTTTTAGGTCTAAGTTTCAAATGTCTGCCTGGATATTTTTGCTCAGTTTAATTGTACGCAGTTCTTTAAATGTTGTATGAATAAATATATTTGCCCATTTGTCCACAACAACTGGAATTTTTAATATCTAGCAAGTTATGTTTGCAATTTACCGTCTTGTAAAAGAGCGCCCCTCAGATTAATTTCACTCTCTAATTACCGTAATAACCCGATATTGGCTGGAAAGTGCAATGTCTACCCTTTCAGAAACCGTTTGAATTTTTCAGATAACGCAACGTGTGGCGGAATTACGGTACTGCAACTTTGACTGGATCATTGCATAGGCTTGTCAATAGAAAACACAGCCAATGATGACTTCTGTTTAGGGCTGTGTAATTTTGTTGATTCTATGATATTTATCAATATTTTTTTCTTCAAAGTATAAATTTTTCATCGGCGAGTGTTGATACATTAAATCCTACTTTGAGTTTTATGTCAAATCCACATTAATTAAATGACAGCTATAATGTTTTTTTACCCAGTTGTACATGTTAGATTAAAAATGACATGTAACAAAACAGGCAGTTACATTTAATTTAATAATGAAATTAAATAGATAAGTTACAATTTCTAAAAGTCAATAATACAAAAAAATGTTCCTTTGCTGCACAACCAAACACACAAATCCACACAATTAACATTTAAACAAAGCAAATTTATAACAAAAACATTTATTACACCATCAGTTCAATTAATTCAATCCAAGTCTATGAAACAGCCACAAAATGTCACCAAAATCACTCTGTCCCTCTAAAATCTTTCAGAAAATCTTAAAAATGTATATACTTGTATCGCTTGCTGAATATCGTGATATATATCGTATCATGAGCAGAATATCGTGCATTGTATCGTGAGATTAGTGTATCCTTACAGTCCTACTTCTGTTGTGATCTGCCGCTTTATGGAAACCAAGTAAACCTTTAAAGTTGTACCGTGTGACGAAGGACATTCAGCGCTTTTATACCAAAGATGCTGTCTCACTGCAAGCTTTCTTTATTTCCTTATGATAAATGACATTATTGTGTGACCAAACCTAATTGTACATTCCAGTCCACATTAAGTGGAACAAGTTTTGACTTTGATACTGAATGAGGAAAAGAGTCTCACAGAAACCCAATGCGAGGAAACACATCTGTGCCATCCAGACCTGAGCCCTTCATCTGTTGGACACATGATTTCATTTCTAGAGCTGTTTAGGCAGGAATGGAACAAAACACAGAAACAGTATCGTGCTGAATTATTCATAACACCGGGAGTTATTAATAATTCGCCACATTACAACCACAATCTTTTACGTATTACATTGGGATTTTATGTGGTAATACAGCACAAGGTATGGAGGACTTGTTTTTAACAAACAGTCAGAAAAAATAACTTTTTTGGGCCGTGCTTTTAACAGTGACCTAATTTGTAAATGCCGTGCACCTGTATGTCTTTAATCTGATCCAGCTGTTCTGTGAAGACCTCGGTGGTTTGTTACATAACAGTGAACAAAAAAAAAAAGCATCGTGAGGAGCAGTGAACACAGCAGACAGGTCAGAGATGACGCTTGGAGAAGTGTAAATTTTGAACGCCTCTAATATGACTCTGGAAGAGCTGCGGAGATCCACAGCTCAGGTGGAAGAACATCCTAACAGGACAACATGCCCTCAACGAAACATCTGCCCTTTTTGGATAAGTGGACAGAAGAAAACAACTGATGATGTTGAGTCATAAGAAGCCCAGTTTGCAAATTGCAACCAGCTGTTTGAGTGTCACAGCAAATATTATTTGGAGAAGGTGTTCGGGTCAGATACGCTCAAACAGTAAAGTTTTTGTTTGACATACAAGGTAACGTATGTCACCCAAACATACCACGTCGATGGTAGCAGCATCATGTAGTGAGAATATTTTCAGGGTTAATGGTAAAACCGATCAAGTTAACTGTAGAGCAGACCTGCAGGGAAGTTTGTTAAAAGCTGCAAAACATTTAAGCGCAAATTTATGCCTCACCTTTTAGATTTTTATTCTTTTCACTTAACAGCGATGCACTATTTCTGTCAGTCTATCACATAAATTTGAGTTTGTGACAAAAAGTGAAAAGGTTCAGTAGTTTTGCAGGGCATCAGTTTGTTTATTATTCATTACACAGAAATAAATCATGATCTGAAAAATCATGCAGCAGGAAATAATAGAAACCTAAGTCAAAACCAGAGGGTAACATGGAAAGGAGCCACCAAAAGACACAGAGCGTCTTGTGTTTTTTACTCTTGATCAAATATTATACTTCCTATGGAACTAAAAAAATCATCTCTAAAACAACAGCGAGCCTGCATATGTGTGTGTGTGTGTGTGTGTGTGTGTGTGTGTGTGTGCGTGCGTGTGTGCGTGTGTGCGTGCGTGCGTGCATATAAAGTCACAGATAAAGGCTGCTGTAAAGCACCCAAACTGGTTTCGGCGGCTGCAGGTCAGAACGACACTGTACGTCAGAGAGGTGAACTTTAGTCATGCATTCTTATTTCCAGGATTCATTCACAGGAAAACCAAATCCGTTTGTGAAGAGGTGCGGACAAATTTCATAAGTCTTGACATCACTGTGTGTCTGGTACGCCAGCCGGCCCCACCCTTTGTAATTATTGTGGTTTAGTCAACATCGCAGCACATTCAGACGTATGTAGATTTCAGACCGGCTGAGTGAAATCACATGGCGCACGGTGACGCTTGCGTCTGATCAAAGCAGCAATCAAAGCCGGTGTGAAATCTGTGGTTGCCGCATGAAATGCTGAAACTTCAGTGCAGAGGCAGACTTACAGAAACATCTTTGTGGAGTGGAAAAGAGGTGAATAGAAGAACGACGCTTTAGAAGTGACTACCAGTAGGGGGGGTCTTAAATGATGTGGGAAAAAGGTTGGAAAGCCTGCTGGGAAAGAATGTCAGCTGGCCATATATGGGCTGGGGTTGTCTTTTAAGTCCTTCTGGCCTTCACCGGGCGGTGGGCTGGCGTTCAACTGCAGAGGGACTAAAGTCACTTTTCAACTCTTCTGGTGACTCCCTGGGTGTTCCTGAAAAACAAACAAAAAAAAAACCCATTTGATTCTCTTCTGTAATGCTAACCAGAAAAAAAGATTAAATAAATAAGAAGATTTCAGCTTGAAAATGTTAAAATATTACAAGCTGGTATTAAATTTATCTTGGAGCTCCAGGAACCGCTTATAGATGATTAAAAATATATATACATACATATTCCTCCTGTAATAGTGTGAGTAGTAAAAAAATATGAGTCAGTTTTTTAAAAAAAAAGTACTAGTAAAAATATTTGCATAATAAATATATAGATGGCTATTGAACAACACTGTGGCCCACTCCTCTTTGCAGAATTGCTTTAAATCAGCCACAGTGGAGGGCATCTTTTGATGTGTGGTAGGCCTGACACTCCTACGTAGGGTCACCACTGTTCCCTGTTTGGCTTTTTGGATAATAGGTTCCCCTTGGTGTTCCTAGAGCTTTGGAAATGGTGCCTTAATCAGAGTAGAACATGTTATTTGCTGTGTTTCATGTGTTTTTGATTCCTTTTCATTGGTGCATGATGTTCTCCTGTTACAGATCCTTTAGCCTACTTCATGTTGTCAGACAGGTTTTGTATAAGTGATTTTTTTATTTCACAGGTCTGGCAGGAGGTAGGGTTTTGGTGTGGCTAGTGAAATTGAACGGCACTTTCCATTTGTAGGTAATTCAGTTTATTCAGTATTTAACAAACGGCGTAAGTAACTTTTGCATAGAGGCAGATTAGTTTGGAGATATTTTTGCCTTTAACATTAAATCATCTTTTGGAAACTTTTTTTTGTTTGTTTTTACTCAGATTACTTTCTCAGGTTACCTTTGTCTGACATTAAAATTTGTTTGGTCTGAAACAAAAAAATAAAAAAACATAAGAAATCTGGAAGAGACATACTTCTTACAGCATTATATTCATGCTGTGAGTACTGGTGGCATATTTTCAATGAAATGTTATAATTTTCATACTCGGAATTCAGGTCATTTATTAAGGCTTTATGTTGTATGTGGTTTGATTTGTTTGAAATAGACTAGTTTTATCAGACTAAATGTAGGTAAGGAACACTGGACGAAAAGAGAAGTAACATGCTTAAAACTGTACAAAGACTTCTGTATGCTTAAAATATTTTATGATCTTCTAAAATATGTGTGAATGAAACTGCGTATTATTCATGTTTGTTTCATAAGTTCACATGTATTTGCTGTGAGAAAAGTGTGAATAAGATTTGATTTTCACCTAAGACCCTCCATGAAGTGCCGTGATGTGACGTGGTGGTGCTCGTCAGAGGATTTTTGTTGAGGAAGTCTGGTCATCTGATTTAAAGATTGTGCTGATCTTTGGTTAAACTATTTTTAGTTTGTGTAAATATTCATGTGTAGTAACACATGAATATTTACACACAGTATGACTATGGAAAGCTATAAGGCAGTGAAGCAGTGTGTCTATTGGAGTTGTGGGATTTCTTTCTAAAAACGTCAACACATAAATTCACAAAATCTACAGCCTCCACTTTATGACAGAAGGAGACACAATACGGGTTGCAACTGTTTAAGCTTTTACTAAAGCAACTCCATGATGCAACACTTTTTAGTTTTCAATATCTGTTAAATTGTCACATGGAAAATAAAAACTGAACACAGAAGAAGACTTAATGAACTTTAATAGGAACTTGAAAATGAGCCCTGGAGAAATTTAAAACAGTCAGCTGATTAACAGACATGTAATTTGATTGAGTTGTTGCTGCTTTAGTATTTTTGTGACCAGAAATTATTCGAAACAACCTGATTTGTCTTATTTTCTTTTTACAAAAAGTAAACACGTAGATGGCTTCGTTTCAGCGGCTAATTGGCTGTGTGTAGCAACAGGTAGGGGAGGGGCTGCGCTGCTCCATCCAGGTAGAGAAAACAGCGGCACCTTCTCTGGCAAATCGTTACGACGGCTGAAGGAACAGGGCGACGTGAACTTTTAATGTAACTTTTTAAAACCTTGACATACCTGAGCAATGCAAACTTAACGGCTACTCAAAATGTGATTGGCTGATCGAAATGTTTGTCTAAACTCGAAGTATCAATCAGTTTAAAGCTGGGGGTAAATTCCAACAAGGAGGCCAGGTGTTATGAAGGATTGAACGTGTTAGTACTGTAGCAATAAGACGAGGCCTGCCTGAAGCCAATCTCTGTGGTTCAATCATCCTGGACTGACATGCCTGTCCACAGGTGCCAGGAGATGATCGGCTCCATGCAGCACCAATGTGAAGCAGCTCTCAAAACCCGCAGCCGAACTTAGCAGGAAAGCTGAAACTTCAAGCATTTTTTTTTCAGTTTACACAGAAAATGTTTTAATTTGTGCTGGAGAGTAGGAGGGGGGGGGGAAGGTACCTGCAGTTTAAATTCAAAGCCAGGTGTCATCTTGTGTGACTGAGGTTTTAGCTGTCTAGCCCGGTCTGAGTCATCCGGTTAAATATCCGCTCCAACGAGGCAGGAGCGTAGGACCCAGCAGTCTGCTGTATTGTGAGGGTGGAAAAACAGCAAGAGGGAGGGAGGAATGGAGGGAGGGAGCGAGGGAGGGGGACGTGGTGGGGTGAAGCATCAGGTTTCAGTGTACATTCCACCCAGACGCCATGTCGCCCAAACAGAGGAACACCGGCCTCCTGCACAAGCTAAAGGCGAAGGCAGGTCTAATAGGCTGTAGAGCTGGCGGACACTCCTATAACACTGCATTCCATCAGGCTGCACATAAAGCCTGTAGATTACTGCTTTTAAGCTAATTTTCAGACCATGAATATTTAGGAGACGGCATTAATGCGGTAACTGATTCCACTGCTTTAGGGATTGGCCTTTGGTTTTTGTTTCTGTTGACAACAGACCAGGATGTTTAATATGCTATATGTCTTTTTATCTTCATAGGTAAATCAAAAACAGAGAAATATGTTGTTGTTTTTAATTAAAAGCAGCATTTCTAAGCATTATTTGGGCCAAAAATACCCGAAAGGCAGAGCTGGATTTGCAAGCCAGGTGTTCGTGTTTTGTCCTGCGTGAGTCTGATGAAGACGGTGTCTTAGTTTTTGTCCCTGAAGTGCCGTCTCCTGTCTTTCAAGAAAAAAAGATCTAGGAATAGAGTACAGTCCCCAAGAGGCGACGTAGACAGAAGGGCGGAGGCGCAGAAATTTTTTTGTAAGCCCTGAAGATCATGGCATTTATGAGACAAAGTCGCTCACAGGAAGGACAGAGTACGCATTCATGTGAACACCTGTAGTCTGGCACCCTGAGGAAATGTGGAAATATTGGTATGCATGTTGTAGGAGCAGATTCCTGTATGTGTCTCTCAGTCACCTCAGCTGTCACTTATTCTGTTTTCTGTTTTTCCCCTGAAGGTACGGCAAAATCGTTTCCACCAAAGCCATTCTGGACAAAACTACCAACAAATGTAAAGGTGAACCATGTCTTTCATTTATTATAAGGCCTTTTAAAATGACTGCTTGATGTTGTATTTCAAAAGTATCCCACCTTCCCGCTTTATATTTTGCTTCCAATGAGTCTGATTGCCTTAATCTGCCTCAAAAGCCCAAAGAACAAATTTAAAAGATATTTGGAAATCTTGAAGAACTAATGATCAAGATCATTTTTCACAGATGAAAGAAAAAATGAATTAGGAGTGGTTTGTATAGTACTGTAACTTTTTTACTCTGGTAATCTAAAATATTGATGCTGTCACTGTGTTTTCTGACGTCTTAATGACAGTAGATTTAACCCCAGCTGCTCTTTTTGTTTTTGTTTTTTTTGCAGGATATGGCTTTGTGGATTTTGACAGTCCAGCTGCTGCACAAAAAGCCGTCACAGCTCTGAAATCCAGCGGAGTCCAGGCTCAGATGGCCAAAGTGAGAATCACTCCAGTCTTCTTCTGCTCTGTATAGCAACTCCTCTTATAAAGTATAAAATCCAAAGTCACATAAAAAGTCTCAGTTGACCTTAACGTCCAACCTGTTTCTCTCTTGAGAGCTCTTTCCAACTTCGGAAGATTTTACAGAAACCAGATTATTTTCCAGGACCAATATTCACCCTCTTTCTGTTTCTATTGCATCTTTGCTTTGTAGATATTTGTCCCTGAAAATTGCCCTGACAGGGTGACAGTGCATTTTACATCACCCTTTAACCTTCAGTACAGGGAGTGTGTAAAATACTTTTTATTTGTTAGATAATCTCAGCAATATTTCTCCGTTAAGTAAGTTTAAACTCTTTATTTTCTGTGAATTTCAACTGGAAAATAATTTAAATCAGAAAGTTCTGCCTTTGACAATCCACAAATACAAAAAAAAAAAAAACTAAATCTTCCAAACGCAGTAATATATATATATTTTTTTACAACTTGTAAAATCTGATGCACAAATAAAAACAATCACAAAACCTATACAGTTTTAATTATGGTTTTAATGCTAAAAAAAATCACAAACATCACAAACCCCAAATTGAGGGTTTGGAGTAAAGGTGCTGTTGGGCGTAAGGTTCAGGGTAGCAGAGTGAAAACAGGCCAGTGTTGATCCCCAAACAGGTAGTTGATCAGTGTTCACCTGCAGACTTACTTCTGTTCATCCACAGTACACACCTCTTAGCCCTGCTGTATAAAAGTGATGCTGCTGCATGAAGCCGTCGTCCTGGTGACGAGTGCACAACTTGAAATCTTGCGTTTAGTGAAGTGTTTACTCCTAAAAGTGGTTTTGGCAGCAGTGGTTTTGTTGATTTCACCAGTTGATTTTGTTTGTGTTCCCGGCGTCCAGCCTCTTTTTTTTTCACCTTCCTCCTCCTCCCTCGTCTTTCTCTCTCCCCCTCACGCTTCCCCTCGCGCCCTGTGTACGCTGCTAACCTGCTCCAGTTGTAACGCTTGTTCTGAACTCTTTGTCAAAGTGTCTGCAGTCAAAGCAACTCTTGTCGGCCCATTAAGCTGATCCCTCTGGCTCTCATGCTCCCCTTTGAGGAAACCCCGGGGAGGGCGCCGCTACACCCACTGTCAATGGGACAAGCACAAAGAACCGGCATTGTCCATCTTCCAGGCCCAGGTCTGGGGCCGACACCACCACTTAATACACTCCATCCCAGTGTCCCCTCCCCATTTCCTGAACCCAAACATAACCCGCTGCAATGTAACACCAGGGTCTCCCTTGGCCCAGCTCTTTAAAACCGTCAGAGATCAATGTGACCGGTTGAGCTGAACCAGTACACCGCAACTAGATCCAGAGTCTAAGTTTGCTGCAGTTCCCCTGTAAGAGCGCCACACTATCCACTACACCTTAACACTCGACAAGTGCAACTGGACACCAAAACTTGACTCACCCAGACAGCATGTGTCCTCTGGCAGACGTGTTGATAACTACTCTATAAACCTAAATATACATAGCTGCTCGGTGTCGCCGGGTTACTGCAGTTCAAAGAAAAAAAAAAAACAATATAAATGTCAAGAATGGTCTGGTCTGATGTACTGGCATTTTTATGTGATTGGTAAAATACCACTCAGAGCTTTTCGAGTTGCCAACTTTTGAAACAGAGTAAACATAATAAGAGTAATGGGTGGTACTCCCACACTGTGGATGCCCGTGTTTTTTTTTTTGGTTTTTTTTGTGGAAATGGGGCTGTTTCCAAACTGCTACATTTATTATTTCTGCACATATTATAGTCTTGTGAGACTCATCTCGTGAGCTGGATGTGATGTTGGAAAAATGAAAAGTGCCATTGGAACAAATCAAAACCAAGCCACCATAAACATTGGGAGATAGATGTCCAGAAGATCCTTCTTGTAGTTTATCAGACAAGCCTTAAACAAGTGAAGAAACAGTACATTGTAAAGCATGGAGACACATGCATCATGCTGTGGGGACACAGCATGTTGCGAAAAATGGATCAGATTTTAGTACGTCAGACATTGAAGAGGACATGTTCATTTTTTTCCAAGATGAACTGCTTTGGCGTATTTAGATGCAAGCAGTGAAAATTGTGGGTAAGTTAGCAGCATTTTTGCTTTTACCCACAAGATTAACAAATCTTAGAAAAGGTTTTTATACAACTAATTATTAATTAAATGAAGCCAAATCTTCATCCATTTCTAAATTCCTGCTCTAAATATTTGAGTTTCTAAAGAGAAAAGAAAAAACTGCTATTCTTATAAATCGTTCCTCTTATTTTGTGTTTTTGATTTTTAAACACTACTTAATAAAAAAAATGGACTGGCCCTCTAAATAGCAAATGCTCATCCGTAAGTGACTCTCACTGGTATCAGAGACCAAACAAAGAAAACAATCCTGATCAGGACATCCTTCGTATCGGGTTCGGCTTCGCTCGCACAGACCTTCACCACAGTTGCTGAGCTGTGTAGTTCACAAACATGGTGAGCCACACCTCACAGCCGCTGTCCTCAGAGGACGCTCAGTCCCTGAACGAGCCACCCGGGACGCACGGCGGCGAGCCCGGCGGAGCTGCATGCTCCGGGGCAGCAGAACAATGGTGAAGTTATAAATAGACACATTCTTACCTCCCCGCACCTCGCATTTCAAACGGAGACGTCACACACCCGCCGCTCTAAACGCAAGCCGGCAAATCTGTCAGCTTGGAGGCACACCTTAACAGATGCGGCTGAGAGACGGCCTGGAACAACGACAACGACGACGACGGGGATGAGTTTGTGTGTGTGAACGTGAAACGAGTCTTCGTTTTTCACTTCAGGGCTGGGAGACCGCCAAACAAAAGTTTCATCTGAGCCCAGACCTGTTATATAACAGGCATCCTGAGTGACTAAAGTAACAGAAAACACGTTGCTTCCTTTTAGCTGCCGAGACGCCTCAATGCTATAAATACTCCCCAGGATTTTGCGCCGTCACGTCAACACCTCTGTCAACTTCTGCCGTGCAGACCTGCATTAGCGAGGGGATGCTGCATGTCCTCTCCTGTTTGCTGCTCGCACCGTTCCAGTTCATATGGCTTCCAAATGCATCTCTTGACAGTCTGCTCATTCCACAATGAAGCCTTTATTATTTGTGGTTGCGGGGTAATCATATATCATTTAGCAGCAGGGAGAGGAGGCTTGATGGTGAACGGTGGAAATATATTAGATTTAGATGAAAGGCAAGGAGCCTGCTGATCGGCAGAGGCTCGTCTGTCTTCCCTTCCTGTTTTGCTCTTGTCTGTCATTCCCCGTTTTAATTACCTGAATCACTCCAGACATCGACTACATCCCATCCTGTTTGTCGTCTCTTTCTGTACAAAATATCAGCCCTTTGAGCTGCTAATTTCTCCCACCCACTCTCTGCCCTATCCTCTCCTTTCACTCTCTGTTTTCCCTTCCTGTCTTTTTAGTCCAGCCTCTTTTCTCCCGGTTGCCAGGCTCCTGTTGCTCTGTGAACTCTTAAACTTCATGCCTGGCTTCCTGTGGGCTTCTGCACAGTCACACAAGGTTTCGCTTTCAAGCTATTGCCTTAAAAATGCCTCTGAATGATCTCCATACTTGATTTATTTGCCGCTTTCAAAATCTCCCCATTTAAACAAAATTGTACCAAGAAGCGTGCCTTCTTTTTCTTTCACATTCATAGCTGTGAATGTTAAGTTATTCAGCGTGCAGCGGGATGAGGCAGTGACGAATGGGAAGTCTCGGGTGTCAAATTATGCAGTTTTCAGTTTTATCGATCAGGTAAAACTTGCTTAAAACGGTTCATCCATTTCGGATCCTGGAACGAAGTGATGCTTGACAAGGAGCAGAGATACTATGAAACTTTAATGGACCAGGAGAAGCAGCAGAACACCGATGAGACGACGGCTCTCGTGGCTGCCAGGACAAAAATCTTTGTAGCGACATGACCGGAATCTTGCATTTGGGAGTCCAGATGCATTCTGAAAGATATTTTGAAAGGACTCAAAAGTTATTGCTGCATTAAAAATGAAGCACTTTAAAATATCCATCAGTGTATAATATTGGAAGATTGCATGACACACAAAGAGGAAGGGAAATGGTGCATGGTTTTCAAAATGGTTATCCATTTTATTCAACCCGCTTTACTCTGATACGCTTAAAAAGGTTGCACAATATTAGGAAAACATATGCGATACAATAGCCAAACTAAATATATGCATCAGTTGTTGTCATGCAGAATTTGCATGCGTGTAAGTGGAAATCCAACCAAGAACTGCATCCATGCTGTCCTTTGCATGGAGATGCTTCATACATTGACATGTAGCGACAACTGTGGTTTGAATTATTGTGCAGCTCCGCCTATAAATAAAACATAGTATCTGCTTAGTAAACAGACGTCAAATATAGCTCTGCACATCGTCCTGAGCCCACGGTAGAGGCAACATCACTGGGACAGGAAAACTGATCAGAGTTGATTGCAAGGTGGATGGAGGTAAAAACTGGACAGTCCTCAGAGGGAAACCTGTCAGATGCTCTAAGGGATGAGACTGGACAGGAGGTTCACCTTGCAGCAGGACGATAACCCTAAATTTACAAGAGAAGGGCTTAGTTGAGAACATTAGTATGTGTTAAAGTGGTCCAGTCAAAGCCCAGGCATAAATGAAACTGAGAATGATCTGAGAACCTTTGGCGTTCCCTGAAAATGTATCTTCTCAGCTCTCTGAACTTAACTCCAGTCTGGAGTTAAGTTCACTTAACAAGACTTGCTGTAACTGAAGTACTAATGTATAAAGGCTAGTAGTGCCAAAACAAACTTAAAATAAATATTTTTAAAAAATCTTTAAACAAGTTTGAGCTTTTCTCCTTCTTCCCCAAACTACATTGGAGCTAAATGAAACTCTTTTAATGTTCATGCCTTAAACGTCAATCCTGATGCGTTCAAATGGTTCATGAAAGCCGATCTTGCCGTGCAGCAACAAGAGCAGGACCCCACCAACCTCTACATCTCCAACCTGCCGGTGTCCATGGACGAGCAGGAGCTGGAAAACATGCTGAAGTCCTTCGGCCAGGTCATTTCCACGCGCATCCTCCGGGACGCCAACGGGACCAGCCGCGGCGTGGGGTTTGCAAGGTGAGGCTTTTCTGTCTGAATTTAAAATGTCCTGGTGGAGGAACAAGGTGACATGCACATGTAATGCGAACAGATTTCTGCAGAGGGAGTTCAGTCGGACCTTTTTTTTTTGTTTCAGAATGGAGTCCACAGAGAAGTGTGAGGCCATAATTCAGCATTTCAATGGCAAATTCATCAAGACTCCTCCAGGAGTGCTCGGTGTGTGGAGTGTTTGCTTTGTACTATACAAACATGATGTTGTTTTGTTTTTGTTCCCTGCTGTGATTTTACCGAATTCACTTACTCATTTGATCTGTTGCTCTTCTCAGCACCCACAGAGCCCTTATTATGCAAGTTTGCAGACGGGGGTCAGAAGAAGAGGCAGAGCCAGGGGAAGTACCTCCAGAATGGAAGGCCCTGGGCGCGAGACGGCGATACGGTAACGCAGCCAAAGCGTTGATCGTCTGCCTCATTAGGAACTCAAAGCCAGATTTTTTTTTTTTTTTTCCCTAAAATTTTGTTTTAAATTACACTTTCCGTGCTAGCTGGCTGTTCTTTGAGTACACGCTGTTTCGCCCCAGTGTTTGCATGACCTCACTGGTTCTGAATCCTGTGTGTTGTTTTCCCAGGGAGGAATGACGCTAGCGTATGACCCAACAGCCTTACAGAATGGGTGAGTGAGTGGTATGCACAGACTGACAGAAAACAGCCCCGGCCCTACAGTAAAATAAACACTGGCTGACGAGCTGCAGTGAAAGGTCGCCCTCTGCTGGCCGGCGCAGAAACCTTCAAATATTGCTGAGTCTACCTGCAAAGCGCGCGCGCGTCGTTCTCATGGTCTTCTTGTCTGCTCGACAGTTTCTACTCCTCACCCTACAGTCTGGCTCCAAACCGGATGATTGCCCAGACCTCTCTCTCGCCCTACATGCATTCTCCTGTCTCCTCCTACCAGGTGAGACACACCAATATAATTATTGTTTTTAGCTTTATAGTCTTGTTTTTGTCACGTCCGACCTGAATCCCTCATTAAATTCACATTACCTAAGCTAATGGAGCTGCATTTCGTCAAGTTCTTCCTCTCCCTCTGCATTTTCATACCACACCCCAAAGGGTGACCGTCACAGACGAAAAGCACAAATGAGTTTTCGTTATCGTTTCTCCCAATTACAGGTACACAGTCCGTCCTGGATGCACCACCAGTCATACCTCATGCAGCCAGCTGTGAGTATCTCACAGATCCTTTGCTCCATTCATTTGTTGTTAGAGTGCGCAGTTTAACAGAGAGGAAGTCTCAAGAGAGCTGCATGAGGACAGGGAGAGACAGGAGCAGTCTGAAGTTGAATATAAAAGCAAAATAAGCAAGTTTCAAAAATACATTTTTTCTGAACTGTCTGATCTAATCTCAGAATATCCAGTGTTTAGTCTTGTTTTTGTATTTGCTCCCAGTTATGAGCTGTTCACTGTGTACAGGAGCCCTGCTTGGTCCTGTCTGACTATTAAAGTGAACATTGTAATGGAGACAGGCTGACTGAGTGTCGGTGCATCTGTTCGTCCGCAGGGCACAGTGCTAACCCCGACAATGGAGCATGCCATGTCCATCCAGCCCACGTCCATGATGGGGCCTCTCACTCAGCAATTAAGCCACCTGTCTCTGGGCAGCACAGGCACAGTCAGTATCGCTTTCACATCCTCCTGGTACAGAACCGCTGGCTTCCTGTCCTGACATCCTGACATCATTTATTCCTGTCGTCCTTACAGTATATTCCAGCCAACACTACTATGCAGGGGACTTATATCCCCCAGTACACCCCAGTGCCTCCTTCCAATGTCCCAGTAGAGGTATGACACACTTTCCACTGTTTCCTCGCGTATGAACTTGTTACGCTCATAGAGAGTATTTAAGTGTTTATGCAGTGTGATTTACCAATAGATTAGAGTCCCATTAGAAGAAATCTGTAGTAAAAGGTTTTCTGTTTGGCTCTGTTTTTTTTTTCTCTCAAATGATTTACTAATTTTTGAATAAACGATTTATTTTAACATCTTATTTTTCACTTAATTTTTCAATTCTTTTCATTTATTTTTCAAATAAACAATATCAAAAGTAATATTGTTTATTTTTGCCTTGATAAAATTGGGTGTTTTGTGTGAATTTTAAAATGTAATGTAAGCAAACTTTAAAGTATAAAATCTAAATATTAAGTTGCAAACCGACGTGGAAAAAAAAGAATTTAAAAATGGATTGAAAAATACATTTTATGTTTTCTAGTGTTTTATATGGAATGCTTTGACACAGTGAGCTATAAACTGTAAAAGTTTTATAACGTCCTTTTTATTTTCTGATAAACAAAATAATAATTATAAAATTAAGCCCTTATTTATATATTTTAATATCCGAATATTCAGCTATGACTTTCACACAAACAGCAGGCCTCTGCAATGTCTCTAATTCATAGCTGATCTAAAATGTAACATGGAGACAAATAATAATCCTCCACTCAACACAATTCAGCACATTTAATTTATGAACAAATGATGCTCATTTCAGTATTTTTAATATAATTATTTTATTTTTTTTATTGCAACATGTCTTGTCTTACTTTTTCCTGACAGGAGAATGGTGGTCAGCAGCAGCAGGTCGCCATGGAGAATCCGGCAGAACATACAAACTACTCCTACCAACACACCAAGTGAAGCTGAGGTGGGAAAACGTCCAGGGCCCGGCGTGTAATTAAGATGATGAATATAGACAACTGGCTGCTCTGGATGTTATTTAGTTATTAGAATAAAAAACTGAGTATCCTTTGTCAAAAAAGTGACAAAGGAAATAAGAGTGATTGCAATGAAAGTGCTATTTAGAGATTATATCTTATGCATATTGTTTGCTGATAACCTTCAAAGTATCAACACTGTGTTGTGAACTTTCCAGCTCCCACCAATGAGAAGCCGCAGGGCAAGAAACAAATCCAACCAAAACAGGATCAAGCTGGAAGAGATCTCAACCACAACCAATCACCGGGACTTGAACACGGATAACAAAAGGAACACGTGTGTGCCAGTGCGTGTGCTTGTTTGTACTTGTGGGTGAGAATGTGTGTGTGTGTGTGTGTGTGTGTGTGTGTGTGTGTGTGT